TATGTAATGCAAAGGTTCATGTACTCCTGTGCAAATCTGATGCAATTTTCAAATGCCTCACAACAACGTTTCCAAAGTATAAAAAACAAAATACTTAAGATTATAAGGGAATCAATTACAGAAAATTCATAATCAAATTTTTAAAATTAAGAAATAGTAATAAATGCATGTTTTCACTAACTAATTAATATTTAGTGGCAGATAGTGATAGTGAGTTTATCTATAATACATACAATGCCATGTGACAATCTGTAATTTCTGTTGGTGAGGAAGTCACAGATACTGACAGTATTACTGTGATTTTTGTCTACATTAATAATTAAAGAAAATGCTAAATTTCAGTTAAAAATTACTGAAAATAAAGTTGTAATCTTTTCCTACCATGTTTGCAAATCCCTTGTGGACTTGTAATGGAATTTTACTAGTAGTAGTCTATAACTAAAAAGAGGATCACCTATCTGTCCCAGGAATCATAAAAAGTAAACTTTCCCATTCATGCTCATTTCCTATTATGATAAAATGATACTATTTCAGACTAAAAGAAGGAAGTTTTAGGAAGTAAATTAATACAAATAAACATCTTTTGATATGTTGCACTCTACCTAATATATATCTTGGCCAAAAATAACCTAATTTTTTTTACATTGTTGTGTCAATTTCTGGTGTACAGCATAACATTGCATATATTCATTTTCATATACTTTTTCATTATAGGGTACTATAAGCTATTGAATATAGTTCCCTGTGCTATATAGTATGAACTTGCTTATCTATTTTATATATAGTAGTTCATAGATGTTAATTTCAAACTCCTAATTTATCTCTTCTTCCCTTTCCCCTTTGGTAACCATAAGTTTGTTTTCTGTCTATGAGTCTGCCTCTGTTTTGTAAGTAAGTTCATGTGTGCCTTTTTTAAAGATTCCATATATGTGATATCATATGGTATTTTTCTTTCTCTTTCTGTCTTACTTCACTTAGAATGACGATTTCCAGGTTTGTCCATGTTACGGCAAATGGCATTATTTTATTTATTTTTTTTATGGCTGAGTGGTGTTCCATTGTATACATATACCACAACTTCTTTATCCAGTCATCTGCTGATGGACATTTAGGTTGTTTGTCCATTTCTTGGCTACTGTAAACAGTACTGCTGTGAACATTGGGGTGCATGTATCTTTTAGAATTAGAGTTCCCTCTGGACATATGCCCAGGAGTGGGGCTGCTGGATAATATGGTAAGTGTATTTTTAGTTTTTTAAGGAGTTTTCATACTGTTTTACATAATTCCAAACTATATTCCCATCAACAGTTTAGGAGGGCTCCCTTTTCTCTACACCCTCTCCAGCATTTATCCTTTGTGAACTTTAGAATGATGGCCATTCCAACTAGTGTGAGGTGACACCTCATTGTAGTTTTGATTTGCATTTCTCTGATAATTAGTGATATTGAGCATTTTTTCATGTGCTTATTGGCCATTTGCATGTCTTCATTGGTGAATTGCTTGTTTAGGTGTTCTGCCCATTTTTGGATTGGGTTGTTTCTTTTTCTATTAAGTTATACAAAAATAACCTTATTTAGCTTCAGTCATCTTCTTCAATAATTCTGAATAATATCTAATGATTTATGAAAATCAATCCACACCAAAAATACAAGGATTTGCTATTATTCAACTGACAAGCTTTTAGAAAAGCGTTGTGCTAGGCACTAGGAATCATAATTCTGTAAAGAAACTTTCATTCAAAATAATGTGATGGGAGAATCCCATATATACTATAGTGTGTATAAATATATATGTATAATGATGTTATAAAACTTTACCAGAACTTATTTTATTGTAATTCTTTGTGATCTAAGTATATTTTAATGACCTTAACCTAGCTCTGAAAACAGATTCTTTCCAAGTCTTCTAACTAGTAAAGATAATCTGATAACTTGAAAATAGTCATGTCTCTGCCAAAACAGATTTACTTTTACGTAGAACTTACAAATACAACAGGAATCTGCTTTTAACAAGTCTTCTAGATGATTCTAGGTGCACACTAAAATTTGGGAGCCACTGAGCTGAGCT